GTATTTAAAGAAGGTTAATTAGGACCAAACGGTTGAACTTCGAAAAGTGATCGAAAATGCAATTTTGCATTTCTACAAGGAATGTTTTTTATGGTTTTTAGATTTTTTTGTCTATGTGGCGAAACCAAGTTCAAGTTAAAGAAGTTCAACTGTGAGACGGTCGGTAGAACTTTGCGGACTGGGACGAAAGTAAAAACCAAGCCTCCGTAGGTCTGACAGTCCACTGTCAAAACTTTTTTGATTATCTTAATTGCGATTACGGGACGGCTGATGCCCCATTCCCCTTGTCCGCAAAAGCGGAAGAATGAACCCCCAAAAAAATGCCACCCGATGCGTGCATAACCCCAAAAAGTAGTCAGACAGACAGACAAATGGTAGGGAAACACAATATATATGTACAATCAGGCGGGGAGTTCTGTTTTTGGGGTCGTTTTTTGGGGGGCCAAGTGTCTGCTTCATCCGCAGAGCTGAAATTAACAAGATTGACCCCCTTGTCGCTGAACTGTAACTGTGGCAGGCAATGAAAGAAATTGGGCTATCAAAAGGAGTGGGGGAATCCCCGACCGAAAATGAAACTTTTGGGCCAAAGGATAAACAAAGTTTGCTCTTCTTTTTGTCCACTGCAATTACAAGAGCTGACCGCTGAAGTCCAGACCTCGAGCAAAGTCAGTTCCCAGAGGATTGCCACCCGATAATCGCAATTCGAAAATAATAATAATAGTGTTTCCCTTTCCCGCTCCCCATTCAATGATTATCTATGGGACACGGAAAGCTCTCAGAAGACCACCCCCCAATAAATCTTATAAATCGATAGGTCCAATGTTTGGCTATCGAAGTGAAAGTGATTCAGAAGTCCCAATTCGAAATAAAGATGTTCAAGCAAAACGTTATGATAATAGCCTAATAAATTTGAAGTTGTTGGAAAAGAAACCAAAACGATGGCACATATTCAAATCAATTTGTATAATTTCATGGGTTTTCGAAGTTACAGCTGATATCATTAATATCATCATTAAGAAAATAATTTCTTTTGGCTTTGGCTTAGCTTTGACAAGGAAAAATGCCTAAAAATATGCAGGGAGTGCTCTGTGAATCGATTGAGCGATAGCCAGTTTATCGATGTGAAAGCAAGTGGCACCGGAAAGAACGCAATGGTTTTTAAATTGCACTCGATGCCACGACTCAATGGGCAAATCAACATTCATGGCACAAAATTTCCGAGGTGAATCAGTCCGTGCAAACACACAAACACACACACACACTAGTACGCTCTTGTTTCACACAGATACTGGCACACACTCATGCACAGAAAGGTGAGTGCTTACAAACCATGAAATGCTTTTGCCCCGAAAATGTTTGCTGCCTCAGCATCAGGAAGCGAAAAACAAACAAAAGCCCGAATTATTATTATGATTACCATTAGCTGCTGGTAACGAGGATGTACGCGTATGAATACGCCGCAATTTTTCGGTTTCGCAAATGTTGCAATGAATTCCATTCTCCATAACCCCGCTTCCGTCAAATGTTCCCATTGACAGCTGGAAAAGCATTTCCATGTTAGCTCATACATAAGCAGATAGTACACGAGCTGTGTGACAGAGAATGATTTCGAAATTGGGGAAAAGGGCAAAATTTCAATAGCTAGTTTTGCTCGTACTCCACATGCGTTCAAAACCCAATTCAGTGCAGTAATATAATGGGATAAATGAAAAACAAATGATGATGATAACTGGAAATCAACCACTAGTAAATGGTAACCAGTGTTGCGTATAAATATGTACATATTCAATCGATGCAAAAACAATTATCTACAGAAAAAAATGTAAACAACAATGAAGCCCGAGTTTGCTAAAAATTTCACATGTAGACAAAACGAAAACGAAAGTGCTTGCTGCAGCACATTTTACACTTCTTACACTCTTCAATGCAGTAAAAAGCAAGAACATACGTGTTAACTCGCAAAAATGTGTACATAATGGCTTGATTGCAATTTCAATCTGAGATTGTACATACATGAAAACATATTTAACAAAATGCTTTGAACTCTGGAAATGTTTTAGGCAAATTAGTGGATTGCTAAGCTATTTATAGCAACATGACAGGTGCAATTAGAAGCACAAACTGAATGCACGTACGACTTGACAGCTTAAATTGGTGGTAAGCTGGGAAAACCCTTACAAAATGACGCAGAGTTCGTGCACGAATTGGGCGATCTGCACCCACCTGAAACGATGGGATAAACCACTTTGTGTGGGTCCAAAGACAGTCGATCCCCCATCCGGTATCCCCCTTATGCAAATAATGGGCGCAATGTGTCACTGAGCCACCAACTGACAGTTCGGATGAAGTGTCGCTGACAGGACGCGGATGCGGATACGGATACGGATATGGAAGCCAGTGCCTGCTGTGTTGGTATGCGGTATGATGGATCAATACCATACATAGACATACACTATGCACCACACACCACACATCACACAAACCACCTCCCAACCAAGTGCGAACATAAAATGTATAAAATATTGGCTGTCTACACGAATCCTAGGCAAGAAACCATACCGAACTGAATTGAAGCGGGGAATTCAATTTATATGCAAATGATATGCGAGGCGGACTGAAGACAGGCAGCAAGCCCAAACCAATACCAATATCAAAAGCCAAACCTGAACCTGAACCTGAAACCAAGCCCAAAAACCGATGCGAGGGCGTTCAGCTATGTGAATTTTAATTATATTTATTAAAAAATGTAATTATGTTAAAAAGCAAGAGCGACAGACACGTCGATGACAGGCAGAGAAAATGCAATAAATAAATATCCGTCCATCCATCCGAGCCAATTAGCTTGGTTCTTTCAGGTAAAGTAGCGAGTGCCCTCCGCCGAATCGTCCCTCACATCGTAAATTGTGGGAAGTGAATAGCTTGGCCTGTTGTAGCTCTGTCGGCTGGGTTTTTCAGTGACTTCCTCGGACTCCTCGTATACCGCCTCGGTCGCCTCGCCGGAGTAGTATTTGTCAGTGTCTTGGTCCTGGTAGCCATAGCAAGGTTTCACTGTGGTCTTCTTGGGCTTGCTCTTTTTGCCCGACTTCTTAGATAACTTGCCCTCGAAGAAGGCCAGCTCCTTCTCCTTCTTAGCCTCGAAAAATGCTAGCTCCTTTTCTTTCTTTTCGTCCCACCACTGCTTGAACTTCTCCCACTCGTTCTCCTTCTTCTCCAGCTTGGCCTCCTCCTTTTCGGTGAACAAATTGAGGAAATCCAGCTTCTTGAGCAGCTCCTTCTGCTTCTTGCCCTCGAACCAATCCAGCATGGCCTCATCCTTGGCCTCCTTGGCTTCTAGTTTTGCCTCCAGCTTGGGCAGCTTCAAAAGCCATCCGTGGGCCATCTGCAGAGCTGTGGATTTTTTTGTCGTATTTTTTATTTTGCCACAAAATATGACAAAGCTATGAGCTATTGTGTTCCATTTAGGTTCCTTGTAAAAACTCACCAAAACAGGCCATCGCCAGCAGCATTAGTTGTTGTCCGAATCTCAGCATTGTCTTTTGGCTTTCGGTTCTTGGAATCCAAACACTTGTTCGGTTTCTGTTCGGTCACAAGCAGATGGTCTGGCTACTTATAACCCGAAAATCCGAGCCACTGCATCTGGGAGCACGTGCTGCCTGCCTCGCCACTGCGATAAGCACGTGCATTTCGGTTGAGAAATCTATCAAGCTCGCGGCATTTTTGGGCCTTCTGCGATACTGGGTTCAATGCTCTGCCTGCACCGAAAGAAATACCACATTAAGCTTAGAACAACTCGACCCACTAAATGTTCAGGCTAGCGCAATGCGAAATTATCTATTTTCTTTGGTTTTCTGAATGTGTGCGCCAACATTCCAGACGCTAAGTTTTCTCTCAGTGTCTGATGGTGTACGGTCCGTCCCTGGTCAACTGTCGCTCTGATTAGTCTGGCAGTTATTTAGCAATGTCTTTGGGGGACTTTAGCCAGTTCTGGCAAAGATTTTAATGTACTGGCTTGCGACTCGAAAACCAGGCGCTGCTAATTGAGTCTGCCGTTATCTAGTGGGTGGTGTTGCCTGGCTTGTTTCTGCTGATGTGTTGAAAGTGGAAGTTAAATTGTATTTGTTTAATGCGGCTCATGCACACGGAAACCAAAAACCAGAGAGGGGGGCCTTTGACTCTGCAATGTGTGTTTGTGTTGGGCAAACAGTTTGCCAAATTAATTGCACACCAACTGTTTATTTGCCCGTTTGTCCGTTTGTGTTTTATGAGTTTCTTCCCTGTTTTTCTTGCGGAGTTTCTGTTCCCATTTGCCTAGCCCGTTTGCTTTCTCTAACTTGGCACGTTAATGAGGCTCACCAGATTGGAATGAATTACTATTGAGTTACCAGTGATTTTACCTAACAAAAATAATTATCTTCTTTGGATAAATAGAGAATATCTGCATGGAAAAGACTTTGGGCAAAACATTGAATGTGCGTTCTCTTTACAAGTTGATAATGATTAAATTCACATAAGATGTGTTATTATTATACCCGTTACTCGTAGAGTAGAAGGGTATACTAGATTCATTGAATGCACTTCCACTAGCTGAGTAACGGGTATCTGATAATCGGGGAACTCGACTATGGCATTCTATCTTGTTTTACAATGTGTTTAATTGCAGTAGAAACCTGAATGTTTCAAACATCTTAAAATCATTCGTAACATTAAATCGAAAATGTCTGGAAATAAGTTTTGCTGTGTTTAACGTTCGATGTTTAAATGATGTACATAAATTGATTTACTTGATAGTAAGTAATTGGAACTACTCTTTGTTCTACACATGTACTTGTATGTTTCAACACGCTCATTGATAACCGATAATTACATTTAATAGTGTGCCTTTTTATTACATTTTAAATTACATTTTTATTAAATACGTTGTAAATATATCATATAAAATGTGAAGTGAAAATGGAACTCCAGTTATGAGTGTCAGTCCTTTGGAGGATGGTGCAATTGTGTTACTTAGGGATTCTATTATTGTCGATATTTCCTAAATCGAGGGGCAATTGTGGAAATGGTTCCAATACGTTGTTCGAGTTGAGGACGAGATCGTCGTAGTCCTCGCTGAAGTCGTCAAAGCCACTCAACGTCGTTCTGACGGTTGTTGTTGTTGTGGTGGTGCTGGATGTCAGTGGTGCCGGGGTGGTGCGACGACGGGGCCTCCTGCCTCTGCGCCCTTTACGCCCCCTTCGCAATTTTCGCTGTGGCTTGCCAATTTCGTTCGACCGGCTATATATATTCGGATATGGCTCCATGGTGTAAACGGTGTAAGCTACTGGTGTTGATGTGGTTGTTGTAGATGTGGTGGTGCTCTGAGCAATTGTTGTTGTTGCAGTTTCAGTGGTGCTCGTGGTCGTTGCTGCCGGAGTGGTTGTTATTTCGGACTGTGGTGTTGTTGATGTTTGTGTAGTTGTTGTTGTCGTTGTAGGTACAGTTGTGGTTGGAGGTTGTGGAGTAGTGGTTGCTGTTGGTTGCGGTGAAGTTGTCGAGGTCTGCGTGGTGTTTGTTGGTGTTGGTTGTGGTTGTGGTGTAGTCGTTGTAGTTTGTGTAGCTGTGGACGTTGTTGTTGTTATCGGAGCTTGCGTAGATGTGGTAGAAGTTGATGTTGAAGTTGTGGGTTGTAGTGTTGTTGTTGAAGTTTGAACGACTGTTGAAGATTGTGGTTCTGTTGTGGTTGGTGTTTCTGTAGTGGATATTGTGGAAGATGGTGTAGTTGTTGATGACTGTGCTCCGGTTGAAGTCTGAGTAGTTGTTGTTGAGCTTTGGGGTGTTGTAATGGTTGTTGAAGTACTAGTGGTAGGTAGTTGTGTTGTTGTTGCAGCTTGTGTCGTTGTAATGGTTGGTTGTATTGTTGTCGGAATTTGTGTCGCTGTTGTGGTTGAAGCTTGTGTGGTGGATGTGTCTGCCAACGTGGTCGATGTCGACTGTGTACTTGTGGATGTGGTGATACCTGCTTGTGTAGTGGACGTGCTCGTTGGTGCTGCTGTAGATGTTGCAGAAGATGCTGTTGAAGTCGAGGTAGGCTCTGTAGTTGTCGAGGTAGTGCTGGAGGATTCTGTGGCATTTGATGCCGCTTCAGCCGCTGCAATTATTTCACTAATGTTAATTGTAATGGTTTCGTTGTTCAAGCTCGTTCCGTTTGCCGACTGAAGTTGGTTGTTTGAACTAGATATCGAGGCCAGAAACGAAGACTCCTGGCATACTGTTAAACAAACTAAAATGAGCAAGAAATTAGCATCCGTGCTTAAATCATGAGAGCCACCACTAATTACCTAATGTTGTCACCACAACGAAGGCAATTAAATGATTACGTGACGACAGCATTGTTGACGTGCTGCTTTCCTTTCCGTTTCCTTAATTAGCCCTGAATTGAAGGCTTTAGTCGAGGTGTTGCTTCTGTGACTGGGCGTACTGCTCTATAAATTTGACTAATTGAACTGATTTGCTGAGTGCTCAGATGGTCCAGTTTTATATCGATGTGAACTGGGCTCCACGTCCGGAAACGTGTGCTCCGTACGTGCGATTGCCGATTAACTTATCGCGTCTTCAGCCGATTCCAATCTCGATGCGCCAGCTGTAGCCACTCACTCTCGCTCTCAATCCCCGGATTCATTCTCCACTTTCCGCCCCTCCGCCATTGAAGAAGATTCTGAATTCCGATTCCGGAAGTGGCTTACACTTGTTGAACTTTTTAAAATATGTACTACGAACAGACCAACCGGATGCATTGCTCTTGCATTCGATTAACACCCGGGCACGTAATCTAAAACAACATCGAAAACAGATGGTCGACATACATACATACATATAACGCAAAACAAACCATTGTGAAGGCAATGCATTTTAATACGTTCATTAATGAAGTTATGGAAAAGTAACGCGATGAGGTTTTAGTTTAGTTTATTAAGGTTTCTGAAGTGTTGTACAACAAAAAAAAAAAACCAATTTAAGCCTTAACTGTCTGCACTTATGTACAAGCTGCACATAAATAAACATTTTAGTAAAATTGTGTGAAGCAGCATTAAAAACATATTGTATAAGTATATCAAACGCTTAACTAATTTCAGTTAATTGTGGTAAATAAATAGTGATTAAAAAAAATAGCTTGAATAAATCGAATGAAATGTAAACAGGCAATGCGGCATCCGATTAGCACTGATAACAGCGACGAATGCAATGGGAATTATTTAATTGTTGGTGTTCAAATAAAAAAAACATACGCAATTTTAATTATGTATTTACATGTCATTCCTCGCCCGCTTTAAAAGTTGAAATTGGCAATTATTTAGCTGAAACGTGACGAGAGGCAAATAGCGAAGTATTATGAAAACAATTCGCTAAAACAGCAAGCAAATATAAAGTAGTGTGGGTGAAGCGTCACTTTTAAAGGGGTTTAAATTAGATGTAATAAAAATACAATAATTATTTAGTATTTATACACACAAAAAAAAAAATACACGTCAGATGTGTATAAAGCCGACAAACCAAATTAAAATTAGCATGTAAAATAATATCAATTCATCGATTCATTCATGTAAGTACAGGTATATTACTCAAAGTACTAAAATATAACATTTTTACTAAAATACTTATTACTTTTTAAAAGTAAAAGGGGCTTTTCTCTATATAATTTTTTGATGGTTCAGGTGGAAAACTTGATGTCGTATGACGTAGTACAGTACTTGTACTTAGTAAAACCAATTCCCAAGCAGTGATAAATCGTAGAACACGCTCTAGATAGTGATAGTGAATACGTGAGCTTAGCCCTCAAATGTTTTCCATTGGGGCAGTATAAAAACCGAAGTCGATTCAGTTGGGCCAAGTAGTCGATGCAGTCAAACCGTACTAAAATGTTCAACAAAACGATTGTCGTGGCCCTCCTTGTGTGCGGTACGTAGTCCTTCAATCACAAGGATATGAGTTGTTTTATTTATAAGCAAATTTATATTTTTCCAGCTTGCTACCTTGGCACCATTGAGGCTCGCCCCGGACTTACCGATGTGGCCTCTGGACCAGTTGGAGCAGCCGCGCCATTGCTTACTGGAGCTGTTGGTGGACTAACTGCAGGAGCAGCTAATTCCGCTGTTCCTCAACTGAGTAGTGTTCTTGGCCAGTCAGGACCTTTGGGATTGGCTCAAGGACTTGGAGGACTTTCCGGTTAATCCCTTGAATATTTCAAAAGCTCTTAGACATCTTATTGTCAAACAAAACTATGTTTCAAGCAAAGCGTATAAAATATTACATAATTTGTCAATTTTTAATTACAAATAAAGTTACGTTTTGAGCATTTAAAAAAATGTGCAAAGATATTTTATTTTTTTAGTCATTTAATAAGCCTTCGGGAATAAGGTAACAAGTATGGAGTGCTGTCACCCTTTTAACCTCGTTTAATTATCTAAAATACTTCGTAAACTTTATACAAATTTCTCGAACAAAAATGCAAATGACGTAGAGGAAATTGTGTGTATGGATTTTATTATATTAAGTTTTTTTAAGTTTAAATTCTTAAAGATGACGTAAAATAGCTTAAGACATTTACATTTGTATCTTGCTCGTTTCTTATTATCGTATGTTGGTTCAATATCTACATATAATTTAAACATTATTTTGTCCTACCAACATTCTGTGCAACGGACTTGTAATGATTTTGAAGTTAAATATATATTAAATACTGAGTTTGTTTTAAATTATTCAAGCTTCACTGTACTCCTGGAATTAATAAGTAGAAAAAAATGCAAGCCTTTAAAGTCCATGAAAAGTTCAGGCCTTACGTAATGCAAAAACCAAGTCTAAATAAATCTTAACTACGTGAGCCGTGGTAGCACTTAACTCCACGTAGGACCAGATTTCCGACTATTTATGTAGGGCGAACTCCCCGAATAGAGCTCAGTTTGCTATTCAACTATGTCAGGCCAAAAATTATTGTTCATTGCCCTGCTAAGCCGTAAGTATTTTATCATATTTTCCCGTACGCTTAGAAAGGAAACTAAAACCTATATTTTGAAACAGTGATGATGACAGCGGCCTGGACTTTCCCCAGTCAGTCCTTAAATGTGACGAACACATCGTCGGCGAGAAAGCAGCTCATCAAGGATTTTGTGGCTAAAGTTCAGGAATTGATAAAGATATTAATGCAGAATTTGTTGAAACTTCCGGTCACGAGATAGGATTAACTTTAAATAAAAGTGTATATTTTAAAAATTTGGAATACCTCTGAAGTGTATCTTTTACAAACATAACTCCCTGGAGCATTATCCTAACAGCTTGCGCTTTCTTAAGTCGCCACATGCTTGTGGCGACTGTACGGATGATGGCCCAAGAGCCATCGGGAAAATGCCTAAAATTATGCCACAGCCCGAGCAAGAAGCACACACATCTTGTGTTCTTGCACAAGAAAATGTGTTAAGAAAATCTTAACGAAATTTCTCACGTTTGCCATAATTACGAGAAAAATACGTGACATGTGTTTTGACTGCGAAATTTACCAGGGACTCCAGCGCGGCTTAGCGATTGGGTTCTGCGGGCAGTGCCACGGGTAAGTAATGCATATGCAAGGTCGACGAAGAAAGGGGAGCAAAACGGTTGCCGAGTTGTAAATGGCAATAATACCAATAAAAATCTGTGTACAAAACCTCCATCCCCCCAACGGTGTAATTCATAAAAATCTCTTGAACAAATGTTTGTGACTCTTGGTCGTGACCGCCGCCTTCTGGAGTCAAAACATTAATGCTGTACACACACAAAATGTGGCCTTTTGGCAGGGCCTTCGATTCCATTTCGATGGCTTTGAATAATTCAGGCAAATGCGGTGCGTTCCTTTCTTGGGAGTCGTCTTAAAGTTCCCAGAAGTTTGTCCTCCTCGTCGCACTGGAGGAGACGGGAATTCTCTCAGAGGACGTTGCGTGATTGAATTGCGGCCTGATTGACAACTGACAGTTGAAATTGATTTGGCTGCAAAGTCGAGCGGTGCCGGTGGTTGAAACAAACCATCCGGATCCGGTTCAGGGAAAATGGATACATGAAGCTGGCGAGGGAACAGCGAAGTGCGAGTTGGGGTGGCGCTACAAACAGCCACACTTATTAATCCCCCGAGTGCAGGCGTGCATAAGTATCGGGCAAATGGATTAGAAACTTTTATGTGCACCGCGGTGAAATTGAGGGCCTGCACCGCGATAAAAATGCTAGGGTATCCCCAGAGGTGCTTGCACCCAATGGCAGGTGTAAATCAGCCACAGTTTGTGGAACTTTGCACAACTACTGTTCGATATGACAGAAATAATTGATTGACAAAAAATTGATAAGTCAATAATTGGTTCAATGAGTTAATAATGGCAAATATTTATTAATTCAATTGAATTAAACTATTAAAAGTACATTTTGTATATTACCCGTTTTTCTGCGTGTAGGTAAGCGAGGATGCGATTGTTGGCTAACTTCTCGGACCAAAGGATTCCGCACCCTCGAATCTGATGCTATTTAATTAAGTTGAACGGACCAAAGGGTACGGGTGGTGAGTGCTAGCATATGTACGGATAGAATGGGGTGCAGCACCACCCACTGTCCTTCAAACTCCACCCACTTGCAGCCTTCCACTATGCCACATTTGTGTGACAGTTAATGAACTCCCGTCACTCTTTCGCTTTTGTTTTCGCTAATCAAAGAGACAAGCGGCATGTGAGCGGCATACGCAATGAGGCGATGGAGTGCAGTCAATTAATTGATGGATGATGTGCATAATGAAAAGCTGTAAGGGGAATTGGCAAAGGATCCTTGGGACGGATGGGGAAATCCCCTTTTTGGGCATTTTACAACTTTGGGGCTGCAACAAAACTTAAACATCACAGTACTTATTCCACATTCTTTCATCGAGCCTATACAAAACTTCGCTGAAATACACGTATGGTGTTTTTGTACCTACCAAACTTTTTTTGCCCCACTATTCAATGGCAGAAGCTCATCAAGGAACTCCGCTCTTCGAATGCCGGTCCATTCAGTCAAAGGTTGCACATCCGGGTGTATTGATTGCTTTGACAAATCTGAGGCTCGTGTAATTTCATTACAAAACCCCCGAATCGGCTTCAGCATGGGATTACCACAAAAGCATTTTTCGAGTCCCCAAAGGGAGGTGAGATGGGCCAATGTCTGGTCTGGTCTGGTCGGGTTTTCCAGATGCTTTTTCCTCGCCGCCCTCGTTGTGTATGAAATTAAATTCAATTGTGTGACAAGTTAATCCTATTTCTCATCTCCCAACTTTTATTTAAGCTTCATTCTTTATGCATTACATGCGATCTTCGTGGGTGAGTGAGTGACACCGGTCTTGGTTTCCAAGGCGGTCCATCAATCAGTCAATCAGCCAGCCAGCCAGTTCGTCATTGAGTCAGTCACTCCTTTGGCAGACGTCATAGACTGTCAGAAATGTTTGATATATATGTATGCTGCCTGCTTTCTCCCTTGGAGCCCGTTTCAAAAAGTGAAAGCGAAGGGTTGTCTGTCTGGATGTCTGGGTGTCCCAAGGGTCGTGGATTTTGAGTGCCTCCATGACGCCAACGGTCCAGCAACACTTCATTAAACGCATAAAGCAATAAAATGTTCTCTCGATAAGCAAAACAAAGACCATCCCAAATGAAACCCCATAGAAAAAGGCTTCGAACTGTCTGACAGCTTGACGTCGCCTGCTAATGGCAGAAAAAAAACAGAATACATAGAATAAAGGAAGGCATCTGCCCGAATTGATGCTCTCAAGTCCTTGCAAGTTGGTGCCAGTGATTGGGAAGTCCTAAAGCTGCTAGAAGGCTATAATGAAAGTCAAACAGCTGGGAGGGCAAAATCTCTTTCAATTGGCATCTTGATTCGCCTACGATTGGGACAGGCACATGGTCTCATCTATGTGCATATAAATGCATTGGTATATTTTTGCTTAAAAAAAAAATTAACTTTCATTGAAAAGTTCATTTGAAGATGAAATAATCAATAGTTTATATTGGGTTTCGTTCACCACTTATTGACTTAAATTCATGTAAGAGCCAGAGAAATATTAGAATTGCACTAGTAAGTAATTTTGGAGAGTAGTTAACTTGTGCAGTTCAATCAACTTTCCCTACGCTGTTCCCGTATGTTTGTCACGTCCCCATTAACCCCATATAAAAAGTGACAGACAGGAATCAGACCTGAGCTGCGGCTTAATCCATCACATCAATGCGGAAGAGACCAGTCATCATCATCATCGTTGTCATCAGTGCTTCTCCTCTCGGCATCCACCATTTCCCACTGACCACCATTGTCGCTCCGCATCCGAATATAATATAGAGTAGCAGAGTTGTATCTTTATTACGATAATTGCTCATTGAGCAGGAAATTTTTATATGCGTGTGCCTCAGCGTGTCCTCCGATTGCAAAGCCCCTCAAATTCTTGGGGGCAGGAAAAATCAACCCAGAACCCAGCGGGGATATAATAATAGCACAACATGCGTCCAGAACAGAACAGAACAGAGTCTGTTCTCCTCTGTTGGTTACTGGTTCAGGTGGGAGTGGCAGTGGATTGTTTGGGGTCTTGGGGCTTTTAGCTGATGATGGCATTTTCCTTCTTTTTTTTTGTGGACAACGCTCAGAAACGTAAAAAAGAACATCACACACAGGAAGAGAAGAGACAGAAGATACCGATGCTAAGAGTTGTATAAGAGGAGGAACAGATCCTAGGCGTTTGGTGGTAGTGCCCGTTGTGGTGGATCATTTGCACCTACGTCATCACCATAGCCATCGCCATCACCATCGCCCATCAAACCGGTGGGCAACGAAGGCTCCCTCCAGTTCCACACGTCGATACTATCGCCGGCTCCCAAATTAAAGTCCGTCCTCCGTCGCTGCAGCAGTATACGCAAATTGAGCAGAAATCTATCCACATCCCGATGGTGATCGATGCGCAATCGGATCGCTGGCATTTGGGTGATTCGACGTCTATCTGCCGATCGGTTGATCGATCGTTGGATAATACGCTCTATTTGACCCGGCATGCGATCAAAGTTCAGGCGAATGCGAAAATTCGGACCTTGATGTGGCCGAAATGGATTCATCTTGTTGCACCGTGTAATTTAGTTATTTTCTGTGTTTTGCCTTTTTTGCCTTTTTTGGTTTACGAGATTTTGAGTGGTTTCTGATATTTTTCAGCTGGTCTTGCTTACCGGAATTTCGATCGAAAGGGACTGCTCGAATGACTGTACATTTGTTGACAGCTTGCTAACAAAAGCATGCCCGATAGGTAGATATCGCAAAGGGGACTGAGCACTTGGTATCTTCATAAAGTTCTGTTGTGGAATGGTATTAGATAAAAATACAAAAAATAAACATTATAATGAGGGAAAATTAACTAGAATTTGGCTAACTAGGACTGACATAATCAGATTGAGGAATTGAGAGACCGGTGAAACATCTATGCGAATCTGGCCCTTAGGTACACATACTTGTGTACGCTCGATGCATATTTAATTAAACTTTCACCTCTTCAAAGCCGACAAAGAATCTTTGGCGGGGGCGACAGGAGACAAGTCCAGAACACTTTGGTCTCTCGCTTCAATCATTTTCATGGGGTGGATGGATGTGCTAGTGGATGTCCTAGCTCCAGGACCTGTTACTCTCATCCTAGTTCTTGAAATACTTAAAAGCAACACGACAAGCTTTAATTAAATCAGTTTTAATTAATGCAAAATGCGAAATTTCAAAAGACGTCGCCAGGGCTTGGCTCAAATTGCCGACAACATGGAAAACAGAAAACAGAGGCGAGCGATGCCACGCCATGCGAAGAGGTCCAAAGGACCCCAAAAAGGATCTGGATCCCCTCGAACGCAACGTTTTGTTGTCGCATAATTACAACTCAATTGTAATCCAATTTTGGCCAGGCATATAAATCCGATTCAGGCACAAAGTCACGCCCCCGGCCTGGTGTCTGTGTCAACTTTTTCGGTGTCAAATAAATAAACTTTTGACAGTCGGCAGACAGGCCAGCGGGGTTTTTCCAGCTCCAACTCCGCCCGAAAAAGCCCAACCACATACCTTTCGCATATTTTGGCCACCACCGGAAATGGAAATTTGTTAACGATAGTGGGAAGGAGGGAATGTATGTACATAAGTATCTAGGGTAACAAAATCAATGACCCAACAGATGGATTAGATACCGTCATCTGACCAAGAGCTCATCCGTCCAACCCCCTTGAAGACAGAACTCTTGATAACTGCAAATTAGTTGCACATGTTCCACATGGGCCACAACTCAAAACAAGACGTGTTTGCACTAATTTGGCCAAAATCAACAGCTGTGTGTACATGTGCTGCCATCTTTTGCTCGCTGTGTGAGTGAAGAAAACTCATCATAACTTTCTTATCAGAAACTTACTTCTTGCTCTTCAGATACCCAACAGAAGCAGTCCCAAAAAAATAAAATAAAATAAAAGAAAAGGAACTAGCGAGATTCTGGGGCGAAAAACGAGAAGGAAAACAGAAAAATTGCCTAGAAAACTTGTTATAATTACACACTGGCACACACACTCACACATGCACACTCTCACACGTGCTGGATGTCCGTATGTGTATGTAAGTTTTGCACTTGAAGAAATAAATACGACTTCGGCATTAAAGAATCTATATCCCATATCTAATATATTGATATCTTGGTCATAGATATCTGGATATCTTTGAGGAAATTTTAGCTTACAAGCCCGCAAAACAATTTAATAAAAATATGTTTACTTCATACCAATATATAGTCTATCGTCTATTTCCTTTAGGTGTATGACTAACTTAGTGACTGCAGGGCAAGGAATTTGGATGGGGGGGCATGAAGAAAGGAGGAGTACGGGGGCATGCATGAACAGGCAACATATGTTGGACTTTGGAGCAAACTTTTGCGAGTTTTCGGGGCGCCCTTCTACTATCCCCCTTGTAACAGCTCCATATATTGGCACCTCCTCATCGCAGGATTTCGCCGAGCGGAATTTGTGTGTTTTGTGGTTGAGTAGACGCACAGTTTAGGCCCAGAATGCAACAGCTGCCAGAATCCCCATTCCGGAGGACGAAAATGTCCTGCCTAACTCATAGTTGGAGTTTTGCCTAGTGCCGAAAGACCTCGTGACAACTTCCTCACTAAACTCCCCGATGAGACGCGATAAGACAGATAATTGCATGTGGTAAGACCCTATGAGTAAGGTTACTATTTTTGGTGCTCAAGCTAACTTGGAAAAACATATTTGTGAAAGTTTTAAATTACTTTATTTTAGCGAAAAAATGATATATATTTATTCAGGATTTGTCCCCAACGAAATGCAATAAAAAGCAAGGGTTTCCCAGTGCCTGAAAAGATCCTCGTTAACAATCGACTACCTGATTCCAATAGCATTGTGTCCCCCTCTGAGAGTGCCACAAAAGCCCCATAATATCTTTAAAAAATAATAATGACAACAGTTTCAATGGAAGTCTGGAAACAATCAGAGCGACGGCCACATGATGCCAACTTTTCAGGGACTCTTCGCAGAAATAAAAACTTGCATCGAAAGCCGAGGGAATTGTTAACGAAGGTTTACAAAGAATGGGGTAAATCCTACGCAAAAATAAAGGCACAAACTTTTGGCCCAACTTTTTTTGGTCGAAATAAAAATAACGAAAAAAATCAATGTGGACCCGGCCAAACTGTCGGAAAATGCCCAAAAATGGTTCGGCCAGTGGAAAAAAATATGCCAATGAAATGGGCTGTTTCCCAGCCCTGGCAAATGTGTTCAGCGGATGGGGGTGTGCAAAACTGATGGCCCGTCTGGGCCAAAAGCAAAACCAGAGCCAAAGCGAAAGCCATGTACTCGCGAATGCGGGACACGTACTTGCGCTATAATTATTTCGTACGTGAGCACGTGAGCCCGCCGAAAGACAATGAGTCGCCGGATCCGGAGAAATGGAAAACGGAGACTGGAGTTCGAAGACCGGAGTCAGAGAGCGTCTGCGTCTACGGCCGGAAGAAGATGTCGGGCCCGCTGAGGTAAGCATATAGTACATTAGAGAAATGAAAGACTTGCAGTGCGAATTTTCCCCGAAAGAAAAAAGATTAATAAGATTTAGATTTAGATTTAGGCGAAACTAACCAAACAATGAATTCTATCAGTGAGTAATTAAAGCTGGCCCCCATACAACAATAAGAATAACAAAAACCATTCAGACTTTCAGTAAGTAATTAATATTTGTTTCCGTGCATCATAAGAACGAGACCAAGGCTTTAGTTTTCGACTTTTCAGCGTGACACAACATATACAAAAATTTTGGAGTAACTCCCTCCAAATAATATCCGCCTCAGGGCATCAGAGGAAAGATCTTTAGCTATCCAGCTGCCCTTAAGTATTGCCTACGTGATGGTTTTTTTGTTCAAGAAAAATTTATTGCCATTACCTTGAAAGTTGCCCAGAAAGTCTTGGCGTCATATTGGCATATTTATCATCGTTTATATTAATGGCTCTATATTAAAGAGCTTTCCTATCGATTCATATCCAATTTAACCAGCTATATAGAGGACACTAAATATAAATTAGGTAAGGTTAATTTGTAGTTTTCTATTTAAAACTAGAAAAGTAGCCCTCTGCCCTGGATAGACCTCATCCTGAGCAAGCACTTTGGAACCATATATCTAATTAAAGGACTGTCCCCTTGGTTCCCAACTGGTCCACATCTCATCCACGTCGTCATTAGCATCGTCATGATCGGAATAAATGAAAGCACCAACCGCTACAACCGCATGCAGCTTAATTCTCATAAAAGTCACATAAAGTAAATAAGTTTGATTATAAGCCACAGAAAGGGCAACACAACAGAGTGAAAAAATGGGAGCAATGGAAGTACACAGTGAGGAAAATTCAATGAACTAATATAACAAAAGCAGCAATTTAATTGTTAAGCGGTCATTTAGGAGATTTAAAAAAAAAACTGTTTTATCAAATAGAGTTGAACGATAGGCTTTATTTTTGTTTCAAAAAAACATTATTTAGAACATTGAGAAATGTAATTAATAATATTCAATCAAGAATTATTTATACGCCATCTTCATTCTCAGTGCCAATAAAGTGTAGAAGTGCCGAACGGCAGCTTCACTTGCAGGACCTGGACCAAAACAGATCCTGGCTTTGGCAGTTGTCACCGCCGCTGGAGTAATTAACATTCACAATGAAAATGAAAACGAGCAACTGCAGCGGTCTGGATGGGCGAGTGTGAATGTTTGGGCGCTTGTCTTTGTGGGCGGGTCGGGTCTTTGAGAGCGGTAAAAGTTTTTAATAACCCGCAACAACAAACACGAATGGGACCACGAAGGACAAGGCTAGGAAAAGGCGGGGGAAAAGGCGGCGAAAAGCGGGCAACGGCGGCACAGAGCAACCGCCAACAGCCACAATAATGACACACAAAACGTTGACAATGTAGTCGTGCGTGCAACGCACCCCTTCGAAACCCCTCCCAAGCCCTCGATCGCAGACCCAACCCCAATCCATACACCTCTGCCCGCAGGACCCACTTCCGCGTGCACCGGAAAAGGATTTCTGCCACAACGAAAACAGCAATGAAAACCACAAAATGTTGTCCGCTGGCACACAAAGAAAAATACAAGTATATATCAAATACATTTCATCTTAATATTCGAAACCTGAGCATCAAGACAGCAACACTTGTTAAGCTATTTAAAAATTGTAAAAAATATATTATTATTCGAAACAAATAAATACATATATATAATTGAAAGTAAGTAGATAATGTATTACACGCAGTCATTATAAATGTTCCAAGAATCTTTTGTTACATCTTATTTTTCAGTGAAGTGGGCTGATCCGTGGGTGGTTCGGGATTCCAGGGTTGGGGCGGTACGCGGCCAGCATACGCAACATCAAATTGCTGACCGCACACACAGACGGAGTGGCTTGAATGGGTATTCAATCGCATCGACTGTGCAACAATTGAAGCGGTTTTAAAATAAACGAATGCGGCTTATTACGCACATGTAGCACGCCCACCGCCCCCTCATCCACCAGCTGGACCACCACCACTGCCATACGCACATTGAAATAAATGTCAAATTGAAATTGACATGCTGTGGCGGGGGGGCTACGGTCCAGCAAAGAAGGAGGTGTGCGGAGGTGTGACGCACTGCGTCTATGGGCTCATGCGGATCCGGATGCGGAAGCGGATGCCGTGGTCAGCTTTT